GATGAAGCTGTAACATCCAATAATAAAAACAATAACAAAGATGATAATTAAAATCTTACCAACAAACGTTTTGACATCGTTGACACTGAAATCGGGTTCTGGCATCCTGCAGAACCACACAAAAGTCAAAGTGATACAATGGCTGAGGTTTAGTTTAAATATCAGGTCATATTAGCCACCAAGCTAACAAGACATGTTAGCTTAGCACCAAAGAGCTGCTAACAGCAACTAACACATGACCAAGCTAACAGGTCATGAGTAATCAGTAAACAGAAATGTTCTTACTTGATTCCCAGGCCTTCAGGCTTCTCAAACAGGATCGGGTCTCTCAGGCCACCTTTCTGGACAAACTCGTATGTAAAATCTGTGAAATATGGAAAAAATACAAAAATGGACTGAAGCGCACATATATAAAAAAAACTGTTAAGGAAAGCTTCTGTCTCTTATTGTGAGGCTAAAAGCACCAAACAATAGTTAAACACAACTAATTACCTTTTCCTTCCATGCGGACGATTCGATCAGAACTGAACTTTTCGCTGCTGACTTTTTCCTCCAAGTCGAACATCCTTCTCCCATCAATCTCCTCATCTGAGATCCCATCGTCATGGTAACGCCTTCGAGTACCGGCTCGCTGTTGTGGATAGATCAAATTAAGAAGTATGGAAGGAGACAAATAACAAAACAAAAAAAACTTGATGGTGTTAAACAGTCAACCCAAATTCCAAGACAGAGCTCAAATGATTAGAGTTTTACTAATACTTCATAAAACTGAATTTTTTTTGTACACCACAAAATAATGGAACAACTGATCATTGTTCTAGTGAGCTAATATTTATGGATCTTAAATGGAGTCAGACATTGATGCACAATCTCTGAACCGAATTCATCAGCTTACATTGTTCAATAACATTGTTCGACAACTTTAAAAAACAGTAAGAGTAATAAAGATTTGCCATATGATCCATGGAGTCTAGCCTAGTTCTTCCAGGGCCAAGACCAGAAAAAAAGAAAACACAGCTCTCCATTCCTGCAGCCCTAAGAACAATGGACAAACTATCAAGTAGCAACAAATTCAAATTCAAAAATACTTTATTAATCCCAGAGGGAAATTAAATGTTGCTGTAACTCATTAATTTTTTATTATTGAAGATTGTGATGGCTGTTGGCAGGGAAGATCTCTTGTAGTGGTCTGTATCTCAGTAAATCTGAAAAGGCTTCTGACTGAAGAGACTCTGCCTTCCCAGAGTTTGTTATTCAGGAAGCATCTCACTGTTCTGGTGGGGATGGTGCAGTCCACACTTAAGTTTAGATAGTCATTCGCTCACTCAGTCATGGCACTGATGTGGCTCCATGTGGCTGGCAGAGAGTAGTCCAATCAGTTGCTTCAAAACAAGTATGGAGGGCCTCTTCTACTGCCCTGTGATCATGCTGTGGGATTTCCCTGTGAGTTGTACAACTTATAAAGTGTTGGGTTCTTTAACCTTTTCTAATTGCATTAGTTTACACTGAGTTGTTTCAATCTTTGTCTCATTACATAGCGGCCTGGGGAACCTAAACGGGCATTATTAAACTTACCAGCCTTTTGCTGAACCGAGGCTTTGAATCATCCATATTCAGTTGGAACGACTGGCTTCTCTCCACTGAAGAAGTAAAGAACCACCATAGATGACCTTTAACCTGCACCGTAGGGCCACATGGCTCTTTCGTAGTAAACAATTCGCTAAAACGTATGGACCTAAATGGCTGCAATCCAAGACCCGTTAAAAAGATTAAACTAACGGAGCTTACAGAGAGCTTGGCTGATTCCGCTTTGATTTACAGTGAACTACCAAAGCGGTTAAAAAGATGCAAAAAGAAAAAAGTAGTCCTACTCGGCTACATCATAGTCTAGAAGTTAGCGAGAATTATAAGTTATATAGTTTTTCTAAATACAAGATCAACGGAAGCTTTGTTCTAATCCGAGCCGGGCCAGTGTTGGTCTGCTGAGTTCAAAATGTCCTCCGATAGAACCCCAAACATATCCTCGGGTTATTTAACAACAGATGCCTGTATCCGAACAAGCTTAACCATAGGAAAAACACTTTCTCTGTGTAACTAGAACTGCAAAACCTATCGGCATGAATGTCTCTAAACAGCCGCCATTTTCCATTCCATCACAAAACAACAGTAGATCCCACCCACAAACTCGTTCTGGACCAATCACGCGAGAGCAGGCGAGAAGCTCATTGGATTTACAGCGGTGACGCTCAGCGTCAATAAAATACGTGAATTCTGATTGGACAATTATCCCAATAAGGGCGTAAGCAACCTACCAAACTACCAATAACGCCACACTTGAAACCACGTCTTGCATCCTATTGGTTGTTAGGTTCTAACGCCTTTATTGGGTGATTGAACAACATATCAATCATAAGGGTAGCCAACCAGGTGACGATGCGACACACCGTCCACACCACCTTATTATCCAGTAAAAATTGCATTCAGTCAAATAAGACTTAAAATACGTCAGAACCCAGAGCGTATTACGGTGCTTACCCCCATGGTAACAGAGAGCGGGTCTCCTCAGGACGGGAGCCGTGATCCAGTGGACTCAGAGCCTCAGTGAGCTGTCACTACTGCCAAAGACTCACATCCCAACAGTCATGCTTCAGCTCAACAAGGAAGTGGGTGGTTCTGATGGAAATGCAACTGCACCTTCTGTCATCCACCGTTCATTGGCTGGCAAATGTTGCATGGTTGCTGTGATTGGTAGAAGAAGCTTGTCCTTCAAATAGGTACATCTGATCTACGGCAAGCCAGAGACCACGCTGTGCTGCTTTTGTCTGAAAACCGAAACACTAAAATGTAATTTTAAACAATAAATATTTAGAAGACCACCCAAAAGTCAGTAAACATGCAGAAGCTCTCCACAGTTGTGTTTTTAATCTCTAGCTATCAATAATCTTAGCCTAATCGCTTGATTAAATTTGATTTTATCTTGCAGGCCCTTCAGGTCCTCCAGGTCTTCTAGTAAGGGTCTTCTGTTCTGTTAGAACCTAAAATGAAACTAAAACTCGTAGATCATAGGTCAGACAAACAAAAATGATGGTCGGTGTGTGTATATATTTTATTTGTGAACAAAATGGACAAATCTATGAAACAGAAACAAATAAATTTTAATTTATTCTCCTACACTGATACAAACTCATACTGCTTAACAATAACAAAAAAAATGACAGTTTCATGGCAAAAATCTAAAAAAACTTCAATAAAAACTAAATTTTGGAACAGCCAATATTAATTAGACCCATGATGAATGTTGAATAATGCCCAATATGCTTCACTACATACATTTTACATCAAATAGGCTACTTTAATGTTCTTTTTTATGTAAGTAAGCTGTCATGGGAATAGGCTTGCATCTGAACAGGTTGCCAGTCCATTAAGGCTTGTTTTACACTTCAGAAAAGCTTAGCTTCTCCCTAATATGCAGCTCAAAATGGTCAGATCTTAACATAAACAAGTCAATCATCACCGCCAAGTGGGCTGCCATAAACTTTCTTAAGAAGCAGCGTTAAGCACTATAAAATAAACTTTAAAAAATGATGTCATATACACAGCTTTGTAATAAAAACACACAAAACAAGAACTTATAGCTGTTAAAAAAAGAGCCTCAAGGCAATGTCACAGTCATCTAAGAAAAAACAACCCTGAATATTAAAAAATATGAACACACTCTAAATTACAATTATTTTCATTCCATACATTATAAGTGTCTCTCACCCACTAAGTGCACTCCAAAAACGTAAAATCTTACCAAGAAGTTTTGGTCTAATTTCCAGTGCAAACATCTTAATACACTTGAAATAAGAGAAAACTAACTCCTGAGTGACTTTTCAGTAAAATAAAGGATCTTGTTTTAAGTAAATATTTCCTTAATATTGATGAAAAGTTCTAGTTCCATTAGCAGATTATTCTACTAAAAACATGGCAAACAGGTGAAATAATCTGCCAGGGGAATTATTACTTTTTTTTCTTTTTTTTCTTCTTTTTATTGCAATATTAAGGAATTATTGACATAAAATAAGCACATATATTTACTGCTAAAAAGATATTTTAAAAGTTAGTTTTGTCTTATTTCAAGTGTGCTAAGATATTTGCACTAGAAATTAAACCAAAACTTCTTGGTAAGATTTTGTGTTTTTGCAGTGTGCTCACATTAAACAAACTAAAAAAATTTTGAATAGTTGTTATCCATGCAATATAAATTATTTCATTAACTGCAGTTAATAGCATAAGTATTGCCACAATGTGCTTCCAAGTAGAGTCTGTAATTAATTGATTGCAGTAAAACAAATTTTAACTGAAATTATATCAACAAAACAAGCATCATTTTCAATTCAAAAACCCTTTTTGCTGGTAAGTTTTTGAATAAGGAAACATATGACCTCAACAGCAAATATATTTGTTGTTTTTAGCTTATTATTTAAGTTATTCAACCATCAGATTGGTGCAAAGTGTGATTATATCAAATCAGCTTTCAGTTTTTTCAGAAACTTCTGATCATTCCTGCACCTTATTTGAAAAAATACTTCTACAGAAACATGGATGCTGACATTAGTATTGGAGACGTCTGCGCTGCTGCAACATGTTTAGGATTGAGATGCTATTTTATCTATAACTCCCGTTTGCACATCCTGAACGCAACAATAAACCTTTCCAGCAATTTTTGGAGCAAAAATTAACCTACAGTGAGCCAAGAGAAGCTATTTATCGTCCATCACTGTCGCCTGAGCATCTGACTTACAGGCATACCAGAAAACAAAATGCAATTAAATGGTTAATTGGGTTTTCATGGACTAAATCTATGTAATTAAAGTAATTTAATGAGCTAAAGCCCCAGCATTAATTTTACCTGATTCTTTTCATAGCTTTGCAGATTTTTCCATGTTGAATTGAAATGAAATTGAAAAAGCTGATTTCTGCTTTCTTAAGAGAACTGAAATATTTTATAGAAGTTCATCATAATGCTATTTTTATTGTGTTGTACACAATAAAACACAATCACAGACAGATTGTACTTTTTACGTCCATTGAGTTTTCAAATATAGATTAAATATAACTACACAGAATCGGTCTACCAAAAACTTTTGAAAAACTTTTAGGTTTTGGCAGAAATTAGGTTTTCCTCTGACTATATTTCCATTTATTTAACTATGGATGTTCACACTGCACTGAAATTTCTAATGTGGTTTGTAGTGTTGCCTTAAGCTTACAATGAAAACAGAATCTTTTTTTAAAATACATTTTTTGTTTCTTTCTATCTTGACTCAGATCCACACGACACTGAAAAGAATCCATGGCCACATTTGAACAGTTCTTTTCTGTTTCCAGACTCAGACAGATCCGCTATTTGATGAAACTGTAGACAAACGAGCCGAAGATGATGGCCAGAATCACACAGCAGCAGAAGATCATCATTTGTTTCTGGAGAAAGAGGAATGGGGTTAATAAAGTTATAATATATCATCTGACAATTAAATTTTCCGCCACAGAACACATGGCCGTCTAATACCATTTATAGTTAATTAATGTAATAATAGTTATTTAATAGTTGACATTTCTTTACATATTTGGTAGTATTGTCTGTAGGTTTGCAAAGGGGATCCCAGGTCAGAGGTTAATGCTCTGCAGCACACGTGTCAAACTCAAGGCCAAATAATTTTACAGATTTTGAGATGTACTCTACAAAACCAGGGTAAGAACATACCTCATCGTGTCTGTTCTCTGGACTTTTTTCTTTATGAACTACATGAAAACATCATGATGTTTAGAAAAAAAAACTTTAATATCAACCAAGTGAAGCCGCCCTGATCCCCATAATGACTTTATTCCAACTCAGCAGTAAACTCCAGCTGTCATCAATTATCTGATTGTTTCCTGCTTACAGTTTCTAATCAGGAAAAGATTGAACTCTGTGGATGTTAACTCACCCGGCGCGCTTCCTGCTGGTACTTGGCAGCCTTCTTGGTGTCTGCCACCGCCCTCTCAACAAACCCCACCGACTGATCCATGTTGCTTTCAATTCTGTCTATCATCCCGCCCTGTGAAAGGAGAACGAACAGCAAGACTCGATAACAAGTGAACTGACTGCTTTGCTTGATAACCAGCATGAAACTGGAATGCTTGTAATTGATTAAATTAAGTTTCTTTTCTTGTCAAACTACACACGTCATTGGTTATTATTGGATAGTCATGTGACTATGAATTTCTTGTTATGCGCTTAGAAAATTAAACCTTTTTTGTATTAACTCATAAAATAATAATAAAAAACAAAAATACAGAATCATGAGAAGAATATGGACAGATAGATGTATTGACCCTTTGCGCATGACGTCACTCTTCGAAACTCAGCCTGTTCCGCCATGACGGACATCAAAACAACCTATTCGCTCCTGTAAAGCCTGTTAAAAAACGCACTAATGGTAGCATAATAACGCTTTTATTTAGTTGATTTCGCAGATGGCCACAATGGTGCTGCGTGGTCGGCTGCACAAACAGACAATGGTGAAAACCAAACTTGTCATTTTATTGTGTAACACTTTTAACGCAGAAAGATACTGCGGTGATGGATAGCAGTGACTGTCAGCCCTCGGTGAAACTGCGGATTTGCAGCGAACACTTTTCACAAGGTAAGAAGATAAACGTTTATAAACTTAATAAGTAAGTGTGATCAGAAAGGTATCAAATATGGCAGTATTATGGAGAAGGTACGCCTCTAACCATTAGTAACCATGGAAACAATACCCCACCATCACGTAGCCTAGCATGTATGGAAAAAACTTGTTAGCGTCTCGTCTTCTGCAAGTTTTTAAGGCTTCTCCGGTGTAAAGGGAAGCGCTATTTATGACATAGTGATATTAATAATGTGGTCTGAATTCAGGCAAAGTCGGTAATTTGATCAACACGTCGCTCCTGTAAAGGAGCGTCAGGAGGGAGGAGGTACGGGTCGGTTTCTAAGCTAGGTGTTTCAAACTTTTGTAAATACCGCCGTCTATGAGCCCCAACCAGGTGTGTTACATCACAGACAAATTAGCTCCACTCGAACAAGAAGAAGCCATGAATAAACTGGTAAAAACAACTTTGGAAAACAATTTCAGTCACTCAGTTCAATACTCCCGTCCCTCACTTTGCAAAGGGTCAATAGACTAGAGGCTATTGTAGAGTCAATAAGGCTTGTTAATGGCCGGTTAGAATTGATTATTTTATTATGTCTTGGTTTCCATGTTTACCTGGTTCTCCACCAGCATGGCGATATCAACAAACATGTCATGGAGCTCTTTGATGCTGCTTTCCAGCCTCATGATGTCTTTGTGACGGGCCTCGATCTCGTTCAGGGCCTGCTGGTTAATCTTGGACTCTGTGATCTGCAGAAGGAGACAGAAACAAAGACTAATAAATATTTTACTGGTTTTAAAACAAGCAAAGTCCCCTTGGGTTTTGGTAATGTTGAGATCCTTAACATTAGATGGTGAATCACAAAACAGATCCACAGTTTTCCATTTTTTATTTATTGTTGGGAATAGCTCAATGGCATTGCCATTTTGGTGTTTTGTAAGTGACATGTCTATTTTTTTACCTCTTGTTGTGAATAACTGACCGGTATTATATTCAGATCTTACCCCTGCAGAGAAGACAGCTGAATTTCCCCCCTCCAGCATCTCCTCCAGTTCCTCATCAGTTGTTTTTTTCCCTGCTACAATGAGAAACAGTTTTGTTTAAAAATTGTTTTACATAAGGTTACTTAAAGCTAACTTAACCTTCTGTTTTCTATTTGTTTATGTTTTATTTCTATAGAAAGACACTTCACTGAGCATGCTCAGAAGGCATTACTACTATTATGTTGCTGAATCTGATCTTCTTACATTGTTATAAATTCACTGAACTTCAACTTTCAAGCTAATCCTGCTGGGGTACGTTAAAATATATAAAAGGAAAATTGTGTCAGTCCAAAAATACGACAAAAAACAGAAACTAGAATGTTTACTGTTACTGATTATTACAATAAAACCCATCTGATCAGCACCGGCTTTATCAGTTTAGAAAAACAGGGTAGAGAGTAGAATTGAACAGTTTCCCTTAATTTACTTTAAATCAGCAGGTTAGCAACTTCAAAATGATATTTTTTCCCCTATTATTTGAGTTTTTTATTTTTTTTAAATCCTGACATTTTGGGTCTGTATCAACATATAGAATGTAATTTATTGCTCTTAAAATCAGATATTATACTTTAATGACTTAATGGGGATAATTTTGCATTTAATCTATTTTCTGCAGGAAGTAGAAGTTATAGACAATGGATAGATTTAAAAACAACAACCTTTATCATAGAACTTGTACTTTTTTAAATTCTTTATTTTTTTTTATTTATTTATTTTTTTTGCAAAATCACTTTTGGCATAAAAATTACTTGTGACATTATTATAGGAAGGTGACAAAAATCTTTTTTTCCAAAAAGCACAACAACAGCAACAAATCTGCAACATTGATAGTAAATAAACAATAAAAAAATAGAGATTTTGTTTTGAGTACTTACTGATCTCAAGCTGCCGGGCAATTCGTCCTTTGCTCTTATCCCTGAAGTCAACTTGAGCCTCGTTGTATTTTGTCATGACTTCAACAAACTTTTTAGCCAATATTGCATGCTGCAGGGAGCAAAATGGATACCGTACTTTATTCTTTTATAATTTTCTTTTTGCTCTGTCAGCGCAAAGAGCTTCGTGAATTTAAATCTCTGCATTTTAGTTTTACTTCCTCTTTTTTCTTTTCATAATTAAGGTCAGAACAAAAATTATGCCAATAAGTTAATAATATTTGAGCTATCAACAAAAAATCATTTCTATAATTGGTTGCTGCGTTAATAAAGTAACATTTACATAGCAACAGTAAAAAAGTCTCTGTAAATGTAATAACTGCAGTAGATAATGTATAAATACATAAGTAGGAAAGTATTTCTTGGACAAAATGTTACATAATGCTGAATGTTTACGTTAGATTGACTGTGAAAAGTCAGATTGGCGTTGTTTGACCTGTGACTTGCGTATCCTGAGGTCTGCAGAGGCCCTTTCATCTGTGTTTGACTCAAGCTGTCGCTCAATACCTGACACACAGACACACACATAAGGTGGAGAAAAATGTATTTAAAACAACCTGAAACATACTAAAATATATCAGAAGTAAGTAAAATGGAAGCATAAATACTGACTCTTCAGCTTGTTTCTTGCGTTGTTAGCTGACTTTTTTATCTCATTGGTGAGAGTTTCAACATCATCCTGAGTTTCTGAGTTCAAAGTCAAAAACAGATGAAAAAGTTTTAGTTACAGATAATTAATTAAAACATTCTGAGCTTTGGAAACAGTTACTTTGGTCAGGTGTGGGGGCCGACAAGATGGAGGAGTAGAGTTTTTTAATCTCTGTCACACTCTCATCGACTTTGTCAATGCTGGTGCGAATATCTTCAATCTGAAACAAACACACACACACACACACATCTGAGCTGATGACTGTGCATAGATGAATACAGAAAGAGAGAAAGTGAGTACCTGTGCAAAGAAGTCATCCATGAAAGCCTCGTTTTCCACGGGAACCTGGATGTCGTCACCGCCAGGATCACTCTTCTGTTCAGAACATGTTTAAAAAGCGGGAAGATTAAATTCCTCTACAGAAAGCACAAAACCTTACGGAAGAGGATTAACGCCACAAAAAATAACTGTTTTTTTCAGAATTCAAACTTTAATCTCAGATTTACTCTTTAATCTGAAATGATTAAAGTTAGAATTCAGAGAAAAATAATGATGATTAAGGTGAGAATTTTGAGATTAAAGTTCAAAATCGGAGAAAAAGTCAAAATTCTGATATTTGAATTGAATTCTGCTTCTGTTTTTTATTACTATTTTTCAGCAGCCTTGTATGCAGAGTGTACTTACTATTTTCATGAGAACAAATCTCAGATTCATTTTATTACATTGTACCATGTACCATCTGTAATCTATTTATTTCAGATTGTCTGAAGTTAAATCTGACCAAGCTTTTCTTGTTTAAAGTCATTTTGAATTACCCAAATTATTTATATGACCTAAATGCTAGTCACAGGTCAGTCACAGGTCGGAAAACCTGGCGAGAATATTCTTTTTTAGATTTTGTTGTAACTTTTCTTGAATTCAAAAGTTTACATATATTTTGTCAGTATAAAGTACAATTGTCTTTCAAACTGTGTAACCTGGGCCAAACCTTTTGGGGTTCCTTCCTCAAGTTTCCAATAGATTAGCCTACACATTTGAGTTAATTGGAGAAACACCTGTTTATGTTTTTTAAGGTTAGACTTTAAACACACCGCTTTACTGTTTGACATAAAGGGAAGGTCAAAAGAAATCAGCCAAAACAGGAAGAGAATATTGCATCTGGTTCATCCTTTGGAACAATTTCCAGATGCTTAATTGTGAGGCTTCCATCCATTCAAACAAATGCAAATACAGACATGATGGGAATGCCCAAACCTCAGACGGATTCTGTGTCCCAGAGATTATATTTTTGGTCCAAAATTTGCAGATTGGCTCTAAATCAAAAGCCAAATACCTTGTGAAGATTCAGCTGAAGCTGGTCAGACAGAGTCATTATCCACAATCAAACTGGGCTGAAAAGCCACCCAGTGAGGAAGCCATTACTTCAAAGCATAAAAAATAAATGAAAAATCAGATTGCAGTTTGCAGAGGCACGCAAATGGAAATAGCAAATATTTCTATTAGGAAATAGAAAATAATTTAGGTAATTCTCACTAACATAAAACAAAAAAAAAGGTTTGGTCAAATTTAACTTCAGACATATAGAAAAAAATTGTCTTTTTATTCAGTGTATGTAAATACCACTCAACTGTATAATGTCTGAAAAACTAAGGATGAGCAAACAGAAATGATCAAAACGTATAAAACAGCAGGTTTAGTTTCAGTTTAACTAAAGTTTTAAAGTGAATCAGAGGCATGTCTGTCCGTTCAACAAGTGTCTCTCTGCTCATTTTGAATCTTAATAAAAATTGACGTACCTCCTTCAGCTGGGCCAGTCGGTCCTTCATTTTCTCTACTGTTGATTCAGCAAATAAATTAAATGTAAAATTATTTTTTAAAAAGGCAAAACCGACTCCAATGAAATACTCAGTTAAAGCATTGAGGCTCCTTCAAATCATTCAGCAGCTGGTGACCCAGAGAGGAATGTATAAATTAAATTATTCCACAGTCTGGATCGCTGGATCGTCCAGATTGTTTATAAGGTTTCCTGCGCTCTTTCTACGCTGAGGACCAACTAAGCCTCTATCCTCTAAGAACGGATTAGGACAGCCATTTTCAGGAGGATAAATCTCTGTCCCCCACCCCCCTCCCACATCCGATAGGCTAATCACACCGGACCGCTGGGCCTTCATTTACTACACTACACTACAGCTGAAACAATTAAACGGGTTAATCAGCTGTTGATTTAGTAAATGAATAATCATTAACTGGAGATTATACTCAAAAAACAGCAATTTGCTGAAACAATAACACACTGAGAGCTGTAATTAATATTTTTATTTATTTCAAGTAGACAAAACGTAAAAGCAAAATAAAAAATGTAAAAATAAAACAGATTATCAAGCACATTGACATGCAATTTTACATAAGTTGTT